GAATCCCACTTTATAATTGTGCACATTCACAAACAAAACTGCCGCTCATCCAAAATAGAACACAGGAGACCAACCTGTGAATTTGATCTGCAACCATGAATTTCAATATATTCCCCTGCTGAGAGGACAGTGCAGAGGGGGGTTTCTGTTAAAGTGACCTTAGCTTATACATATAAGATAACTTAACAGAGGGTAGTAGCACATTAAGATCTAAATAATCATCTCTCCATCAGATCTTGTGGCCAAATTCTTAAGGGTAGTGTGCCCAAAGGAGTGTGTCTGGATTTCCCAGTAGGAAACTGAGGATGTCCGAGCTCTGAACTCAAGAAGATTGAGCATGTCACATATGCGCACTGCAAAATGGACAGCTGGCTGGTTACACCAGTTTGATGATAGTCACATTTGCTTGATCTATGTCAGATATATCAGTGCCATAGTACAGTTGGTGTTGAGATTGATACATTTTCCCTTTGGCTTGTGATGTATGGATATGTTTCTTAAGAGGGTCTAGATAGTCACCTTGACAGTTTTTTGTGGGTTTCACATTGCACTCAAGCTTCAACAATTTCACTTTTGTGACTGAGTCATGATATCTTGGAAAAAGATCACAGTCTCAAGAGTAGAAAACTTGAGAAGCCCTCCATGATCAATCTACTATCCAAAGATTCTCTACCTCTTACACTTCACTGCTAGGCTAGATGGCCAGTTTTGAAGTCAGCCCTACCAGCTTCTTCCAGATCTATCTTACGTTCTTTTGAGTCTGAGAGATGAAAAGCTCACAGAAGGATTAATAACCATCTGGTATATCACTTATAGCAGTCAAGCAATATGGATATGCCTACACTGTACAAGGCAGGCGACAATCCAAACTGTAAGCACATAATGAAACACAGCCCTACGTGGAGATAGTACCTCAGATCCACAAACATTTCAGCCCCATGACTGTGGCCAAGTGCCAGTGGTAATAAACCTTGACTCTTAACAGGTTTCACAAGCTCTGGCTTTGTGCCATGTTAATGCAGCGTGCCATGGATTGGAGCTGTTTTGTTTCTTCATGTGCATCGGAAGCAATTCAGTAGCCAACTGAGAGAGCTGAAGGGTTTCCTCTGATTGTAAAAGGCATTGTACTGAAGATTTTTCAGGCTTCCTTTATTTAGGAAATGTATTGAAAGTTCCTAAATATAGAAAATTCTATTCTTACTAAAACTTCCTCCTTTTTCATCAATGTCATACCTTCAAATCCTATCAGGGAAAAGGGAAAACATTAGTTACAGTGAAACATGGAAAAGACAAACAGGCTCCAGTCAGTACAGTTTGTAAATGAAAAGCCCTAGAAAGAAAATAAGAGAGAAGAAGTTAGGAGGTATGAATTTTCTAAGCTATCCCTCTTTCTTTGACTGGGAAAAGTATAGTACTTTCAGAAGAAACTGAAAATAAAAACCCGAGTTAGTTGAAAGACCATTAACTGAACGATCGATATGATTTGCCAAACAAAAATCCCAAACCAGTACATCTTTAAGTTTAAAAATAAAAATTTGGAATTTGAATCCTGATTTCCAAATCCATTACTTCTGAATAGATCTTTTGGAAGAGCCTTTCAGAAAATCTCTTATAACTCAAACTGTATATAGAATGCTTTTAGTGTACACTCTATATTATCAGCACCACCTAGAGTGCATAACTAGAAACAGCTCCAAAAACATAAAGTTATTATTTACAAAGCATGATTGTGTTTCAAAGGAACCTTTTTCAGACTTAATGTCTTTCAAAGACTTCCATATCAAACATATACAATGGAAGAGCAGCAGGAAGATGCTATATTTTATTATTGCACCTAGAACAGCTGGAAGAAAGATACATTTTAGATTCAACTGAATCCTGTAAGGTAGTGTCCATTGCTTCCGGCTTGATCATCATCAGCAAAGTCCTCAATCAGAATATAGTTAGTGAAGATGATGATGACGACGACGACGACGATGACAACGATGATGATGATGACTGAAGCAGAAGAGAATTCTGTTCATTCCCCTAAATCTGCTTTGAGAAACAGATTATTGTTTCTTCAGTAAACTGTTTAGCTAAGAGTTTGAAGGCAGAAGTGAGCCAATCAAATGAATAAGATATAATAGATAGCATTCTTTGTATCTTTACTTCTTTGTGTGTATCAGACACCTACTTATTTAAAGCCAGTTCCTGTATGCAATCATAATAGCAACAGAGGCTGGTAGGAAATATGTGCTATAGGATGAACACTTGATTTTCCATTGCTTTTCATCTAGGAAAAATAATGTAAAGCTTTCATCTTGTCTCTGTTTAAGGCTCAGGGCAAGCCCAGGGAGCAAGATTTTCTCTCTATTGTCCCCTACCCTCCCAGGGAAGGATTTAAAAAGAAGGGAATAGAGAAAAAAGATGCTTCGCACAAGGTTGGAAGTTAAGACTGTAACAAGTTTAATGAAAAACAACAGGGAAAAGGAAAAGAGAATTAATAAGAGACAAAGGATATTTAACCATATACAAAACCCAATCCCAGTAGTCCCGAGTGGAAGTGTCCGAGCAGTGCCTCGTGGTTGCTGTGACCGCTGGGACTCGTCACCAGGGACCGCAGTGGTGCCGGGGAGCAGATGGTGGTGGATGCTGCCGAGCACGTGGAACTAGGCCCAGCCGTCCCCAAGATATGACAGGAAGCAGCCCAGGAAACCAGGAAAAGCCTGCGAAAACCTTGGGCCTCCTCATTTTTTTATAGACTGTGGCCAGAAAGGGGAGGGAACAGTACTGATCTCTGACCCTCCAGGGTCCTACAGACACCACCTGTCCTTCCCTTTCAGGCTGTTAACCCTTAAATCATAACAATCTTGATTTATTTATGCTCATATTCCTCTGGTCTAGCTGAATAGGACCTAGTTTACCATTACACTGTTCAAGTTTGATGTAAAAAACTAAATGCAAAATTAATAGTTATACTAGTATACACCTGGAACAATTCAGTAGTGAAATAGGCCCTTAATCTAGAGATTACGTTCTTCTCCATGATTTGTGACTGTATCACTTAAAATGTAAACTCAATTAGTGTTCAGAAATGCTCAGACTTACTTTTTAAACCCACTGAAATCCATAGGAGCACTGTACTATGGTTCTGATAAACATACACCTGACACCGGTATCATGCTTCTGAAGCTGCTTATTTTCATTTTTTAAACAAACCAGTTGTTACTATGGCTGCATCAAGATTTTATTACAGCCTATTTTAAAGAATAAACAAAGTAGGAATATAGGCTTAACAGAACATTTTCATGCATTGTAAATGTATATGCAAAAATTCAGCTGTTAACAAGTCCTGATTATTCATTTCTGGCAAAGCAGTGCAAGGAGACTGAAAACCGAGCTTCCTGCTCCACTGATTGAGAAGCATATACTGAAAAAGCACAACTTCAGGTCTTTATTTCAGTATGTGGTCTTAATTTTAAGTATGAGAAGACACCATTGAACAGGACAAGCACAGCAAAGGACCTGTCTTTTCTCAGAAGACAACTCTCCTGCTCTAGTGACACAGCTCGTTAGTACCACTGATGACCTTTACTCCTCTCACTCCCATCTTCCCCATCCAGTACCAGTTGCCTTCCTCTTACATCTGGGTTCCTCCTACTTCTGCTGCAGGACAGTTTCTCTTCTATAGGAGAGAAAGAGTTAAATGCTTTGCCTCTGGCCCTCTTCCTCATTTCTCTTCTGACCTAAAAATACATCTAATGTCACTCAGACTGACCTGTATGCTTATATTTTCCTTAACATTATTGACAGGGTAAACCCTATAAGCTTACATAATGTAAAGCCAGAGCATTATTAACTATGACTACTCAATACTTGTAAAATTGTAATATCAGTTTATGTTCGCATGTTTTATCTAATTGAAGTACTTTATAAAGTGAATAAGTGTAATATTACAATTAATTTTAGTATTGCACATTAGTGAGATTTATTTTATTGAAATTATTAATGTGAAGAGAAGGGATGAAAAAGAAAGTATTTGGGGTCTTTTAGTCTAACTCTTTGACTCTTACCTGTTATTACAATATTACAATGGAGTATATTTTCTCAGTATACTGTTGACACCGCATGCCAAGTAATATTTCCACTGTATTGCATAAAACACTTCTATATTAGTATTGCATTATGAAGAAATTAAGTTGAAATTATTACATCAGTGGGGAGAATCTGACCTGTGTCCTTTTTTACACAAAAAAAAGTGTGGTGCTTTCAGCCAAAACTAATAACAGCTAGTTAAATTACAGAAAAATGAAATTACTGTGACATCTGCCAAGGAATGGCTGCACAGAAGTATCCCAAACATTTTACAAATTGCAGCAAAGTCCACATTACTACTGCAAGAAAATAAATGCACGTACCATAATACGAACATGCAGCAAATATTCTGCATGTTAATCAGTAATTCAAAACAAAAATATGTCTTAACTATATAAATCTATTCTGTCATTTTAAAATAAAGAACACTTTTATTTAGAGCTATGACCACTGAGAAAGATTAAAAATAAATCATGCAAATGCTTCAAAGACATAGAAACCTTTTTTTTTTACTTCAGGGTACCAACACTGATTCACTAGCTGAAAAATTTTTCCTTGAGCCAAGTTTTTCCCAATTTTATCATTTTGAGACATTCTGCCCTTTTCTTTGAAGTGTGTGAAGCTGGAACCTGTCCAAACAAGGACAGAGATCCATCCATACCTTGGGTTTGCTCTTGAATGGATCATTTTAATTCTATGACATCATAACAGTACATTCTAATGTCCCTATATAAATCCTTGACTATATCATCTCCAGGTCATGTGACAAGTGAAAAGGGACTGTTTGATCTGAAGGTTGAACACAGAAGTTGAATGGGATTTTTAAAATTTCTTTGTGCACTGGCTGTTGTCCTATTAAATTAAAGCAACTCCTTGGATAAGAAGCAAATCCACTGGACAAACAGGATTTTTAGCACCTCAAGATGGGCAGTGGAGCCAGTTCTGAGAGCAAGGAGTCGGCCAGGAGGTCCAGAGAACTGGAAAAGAAACTACAGGCAGATGCTGAGAGGGAAGCCAGGACAGTCAAACTGCTACTGTTGGGTAAATAGAATTAAAATTGCTCATAATGCTTTTCCATTGAAGGGTTACTTTGCTCTGAAATTGCGATTTTTTCCACCTCTCACTATTATATTTGAGGAAGACAGTCCTGTAATATATGCACAAAATGCTTCTTCTTGTGGACACTGATGAAGCAGTCAAGGAAAAGGATGGAAATGGCCATGTCACTGCATGCATTCAATTTTAAATATTATAAGTCCTTGACTTGGAAAAGATTTGAGAAATAAGAACCTACTGTTAGAATAAATGTTATGATGCTTAATTACACAGACTGTAGCACAGACTTACCTGGTTGGTTGGGTTTTTTTCATGGATATATATGCATTTGCAGGAGGATTAAGTGAGATAATTGATTACGTAGAAAAATCCACATTTGTCACAAAGTATTGATATAATCTATTTTCCAATTTGTTGCACTTCATTTTTTATGGAAGCAGAAAGACTCTTAGAAGGGCTTTTTCCAATGTATAAAAATAATATTGTGGACAGTAGAATAGAAAGTAATGAGATGAATATAGATTAATATTCTCACAGACTACCACTTCTAATCCGCACTATGATAAATTTATTAACATTCAGTGTGTGTAATGGCAAAAGAAAAATTATTTTTTATATACACCTTTATTCTTCTCTCTTCTCTTTTACATGGTACTGCATAGCCTACAAGAAATATCTAAAAGTACAATAACACTGCCACCATCTTAATAGCTTTCTTCCAACAGTATGAGGCCTGAGATGAAAATTCACATTGGTTTCACGAAATGAATAGAAAAACAACTTTTGATCATTGAAATGTTGCTGTTTTTTCTTTATTGTAACAGCAATGCTTACAAATGCTTTTAAACTAACATTTATTCAGACGTAGCTAGATCTCTTTGATGAAGTAAATCAGCTTAGTTCTATTGTTTTGTACATGATGCAAAAATCAGTTTATACCTGCTGAGAATCTAATTATTATTATTAATAAAGAAATAAGAGAAAAACACAACTATGCATGTTTCTCAAATAATAATAATAAAGTAGCAGTTTGATATGCTTTATGTATTCATATTGTGGTTTACAAAGTTTTTCAGTCCAGTGGAGAATATGAAGATTTTCTGTGCCACATCATTAATACAAAATTTTGCTTCTACTTGGATAAACTTGAGTTGGTCAAAAACCAGAATAATATTTTCATTTATACTTTCACAAAATTTCAATACTCTCTATATTCCTACAAAAAGTAATTGGAATATCGAGTTAGACTAGTGTTCATCTACTCTAGCATCCTGTCTCTGACTTTATCAAACACTGATTCATGAGGAAGGTGTAAGAAATCCTTTAAGAGGAACTTATAGAATGAAGAGGAATTTATAAGATAAGTAATTCCATGATATAATTTGAAGGAAGTAGTACTGGAGGCTGTCTTACACTAAGACACAAACTAAATTGCCCCTCCCAGAACACATGTATGTATTTAGTACTAAGAACTTCAGGTTTTAATGTTTCCCAATGTATATAATCAGTCTTTTTGTGACATTATTAATATTACATTCTCAAGATAACTTTAGTAAAATACTTTGAGATTAATTGCAAGCTATGTGGAAAAGAATTCTAGTTTATTTCAAATGCAAATTTGGAAAAAAAATCAGTTTCATCAACTGTACAAGCACTCTTTTCATGAGACAAGATGATTATCAGAATCTGAAATATTTTTGCTAAAGTTTTCTTCATAGAGTATATTTCTATAATATTTCATTCATGTCACACATGATAAAGATTCAAGTTTGTCAGTAAGTAACGTTTTGGAAGATTTTTTTCTGCTGGGAACTGTTATGATAAATAACAAGGAACCAAAGACTTGGTAAAAAACATGTTGGGGGCGGGGGCGGGATATTAAATGTATAGACTTATCAGCTTGAATTTTCTTGTTCCTAAAAAAGCAAGAAATGAATAAAGCCTGAGTCTGTTTGAGCCTTTTGCACAGCTAAAATGAAGTGTCTCTTGAGCACACAGAATCACAGCTGCTGAAGCAATGTGTATAACGTCAACCAGTGAAATGGCCAGATAGGAGAGTCTTAAATTCACTATGTTCCAATCTGTACCTCTTATCATTTCATACCTCCGAGGTGATCTCAGAAATTATTCTAATTTTACACTTCATAAATCAAGGGCAGCTCCATTCACGCCAACCAGCCTAGTCCTATCCTAGACCTGGGTTTCTGTTCAGACCATACGTTGCCACTTTATTATGGACCAGATGTCACCACTGTTTGTTTTGCAGTAGTCAGATTGATAGAAAACACTCAGATAAAAAAAAAATAAAAAAGGGATATGTACGTCATAATTATTTTTCAGTGTGAACATTGTGGTTTCACCCTTAAAATGTGAAAATACATATTCTGACCATTTCCTGAGGGGATTATTTAATATCCTGTCGCTCTGTGTCCTCCAATAGTTCCCTTTACAAAAATAAAATTATATCCAGAAATTAAAGACACCACATTTGTTAATATTAAGTTCCATGATCTAGGCAAACACATTATCTGTGTTGAGGTGATAATTTGCAGTTTATATGACATGCATATAAAAATTGCACATATAAACTGGGGCAGGGAAAAATTATGTCAGTTGTCCAGAAGCCAGGAGGGTTAAGTCCTCTGTGCTAGGTGTTCCTATGCTGCCAAGGCCGTTCTGTTTCCCCATCTTGTCCACAAACCTAGCCTCTACATATTTATACCTCAAAAAAAATCAGATTGTTTGATGAATCTGTAACAAACTCCAAGGTGAAAGTTTTGTTTCCTTTGTATCAGGGCAGTATCTTGCCTAGCACATCACATGTGGTTTATATGCTTTGTAGCAGACTAGCCTGCAATTTATTTGTGTGCAGAGTACAGCGCACATTTCAAACGTGGTCAAAACAGGTGATGCTCACAGTGGTGTTTCACAGAAATAAGAACATAGATTCAGCTTAAATAATCATTAAAACTTTGAACTTAGGTATTTTCAAAGTATCACTCCATGGCTTCACTGTCTACCATTTTCAGTGGCAGGACAAAACTCACCCTCATGTGAGCTGGTCCTCCTCAGCTCACTTTACTGTGAAATACTCACTTTTAGGGCACAACTCACCCCATTTAACTTAAACATCTGCCTTAGGATGACAGAAATTGAAGCTGGTTGGTTGGTTGGTTTTGGTTTAGTAGCAATTATTTTCCTCCACTGACTATAAAGAGTCTCTGATAAGTAGCGTGAATGTAGAAGTTTACAGTATAGAAATGTGAAACCAGTTAAATGAATCAGTTACCATAGTTCTGAAGTCAGGTTTAAGTTCCTGTTATTTCTGTACTTGAAGAAAAGACTTTGAGCACAAAGATGGCCCAATATTCCTATTGACTGGAATACACTGGTTTCCTTTTTTTGGGGGTGGGGAAGCATTTAAGGACCTTATTACCTCAAGAGGGTTAGATCTTAGATCTTTCCTCTAGTTTCTCTTTCCCATTCAGAAAGCTTGTTCAGTTTGGTAAAAGAACCAGGAAGACAGAATTTCCACTCTAGTTCACAGGACAGCTCCTTTGCAGCCACACCACAGAGCACTTCTTGGAAGCAAAATGGGCTTGGGACTTGGAATACTGTTCAAAATATTAAAAATGAGAAGAGAGGCAGGGTACAGTCTACCAGAGTGCTGTGGGTACAGCACAGCACTGAGGGTGGATGTGGCATGGTGATGTGGCCCCAGAGCATCATGAATGTGGTCTCTGGGAAGAAGTGTGGGAGCAAACATCCATCAACCTTACTGGCAGTGGGGACATCTTTCAGCTCCCAGAAGCAGGGCCAGAGTTTCAGGCACTGACCGAGATTTCTGTGCCTTTATCTTCTGTGCCTTTATCCACCTCAAGGAAGACTGGCATCCAAATAAAGGTAGAGAAATCAGAGGTAAATTTAAAAAAGTGATGTGAAATGCAAAATACAGGTTATAGCATATGATCTCTGGTTCCTATCAGGCTGAGCTATGAACCTTCACAGTGACAGAGAGTTTTTCAAAAGCCAATTAAACTTTCCAGGCTTCAGGACAGGACTAAGTTTGGTCTAAGTCTGTTTATTCTGAAAATCCGGGCTCATTTATAATTGATCTTTTCACTGCCTTCTAAAGGGAAGCTGCTTTCAGACACCCATGCAGCTACGTATGGGCTCTCGTGATGCACTCATGCTGTGGTTTCTGGGAGCAGAACGGTTCTGTGGTGGGGGGGAAGAGCAGCCCTGTCCCTGCTCTCCTGCCCAGGGCCCCCAGCAGGAGGAGCAAGCTGCACAGGAGGGGGAAGGAGGAAAGGAAGCAGGTGCAAAGTGAATGTTTTCTGACCCATTTCCTGGAGTGCAAATGCTACTGCTACGACTAACATACTCCGGAGTGAAGCCAAAGTCTGAGAGTCATCTGTTGTTTAGATAAAGGCCTAACTGGATCATAAATTAAAGATGAGCAGAGGTAGAAAAATGAACCCAAGAAAAACAAATTATGACTCCCACTCTATTTTAACTTTGCCTTTCAGAACTGGAAGAGAGGCTCATTTCTATATTATGTTTTCTGGCTCTTTTTCCATGAGGTGAATGTATGAATTCTCAGCACAGCTTTCTCTCTTCCCTACAAAAAGTGTAGCAAATGCCACCTTGCCGACAGGGCTTTACCAAGTTCTTCAGAAGGGCATTGAAGGGATAATAGTTGATCTATGGCACATTTGCATTTTTTCCAAACTGTGGCAGATGGCAGCATCAGCACATTTTGCATAGGCTCATTTTTCTTTCGCACTTTCTGCCGTTCACATTATGGGCGTTAGAAAATGCTTTGCGTGTGGTTTGCTGTCTGTTGTGATTCATTTGAAAAAAATAATCCCTGTCATTTAAATGTTATTAGCTTTACAAAATCTGTTTGGAAAGTCTGTAATCAGTTTGTTCCATTCACTGAGAAGCCCTCAGTTAAAATAGCCATGCCCGAGATTTCCTCTTTTGTCAGAAGTATTTGAAAAATGATAATCTGCAAAGAGCAAAGCAGTAATGAATCCTGTCCCATGGATTCATGGCCAAAATTAAATCCACTCTTCAGGTGCTTTCAACACCTGGCTCTTGTTTGGCATTTCTTGCTAAGCCTCCTCACTCTCACTCACAAAAGTGACAACGATAGTCAGTCTCACTGATTGTCAGTGGAGAAGGTTTGCATTGTGACTACTCACTTTCCATGAGATAAGAAGAGCAAAGGAATCATACATAATCTGACCAAACCCATGCCTACTGAAACTGTCTGTGCAAGCAAATGCCTGTACCTCCCCACAAGTTGTGGAGATTTACTGCAGAATCATTCCTAAGATGGATCTGTTGCCCAACTCTGCACATTTCCCACCTCCAGCCCCACTACTCCATAGCAGAAGACCACAGGGCAGAGGAACTGGCAAAACACCAGTGTCAAGACATTTGCTCACGTGCTGTTTCTGCATCATGAGTTAGACCACATGCAAGTCTCCACAGCTTCTCCAGTTGCTCAAAGAGGCTGGCTGAGGAGGATGGAACTGCCTGGACTGGCTTACAGAAAGGTCATGATACTCATTAAATGAGCAGCTACAAAACATGTAATGAACAGGACGCTGTCAGAAGCTGTAGTTTGTTCATGTCTTTCTGCCCATTTGCTAGGGATAAAATCAAAATATGACCCATATTTTATTTCCTTGCTAATTAAAGAGTCTCTATTTTTCTTTTAATTGGCTGAATGTTCCTTTCTTTTGAAATGTCCCTTTCCTTTTTAGTATTGATACTTTTACCAAGATTTCATTCTTAAGTCTGAATGGACATTAGGGAAGGTTATAGTTAGTGAAATGAGTATCTAAAACATCTGTGTGTCTCTTCATGGATATAAAATTCTGTGCTTCAGAGAGTTATTTTTAATACTTGTTACTTATACACCTATCAATCACATCTTCTCAACACTTTTCATCTGCAGGTGCTGGAGAGTCAGGAAAGAGCACTATTGTAAAGCAAATGAAGTAAGTATGTGAATATTCATATCAGTTGTTGAATTTGGTATTGGTAGTATAAGCTGTCTAGCTAATGTCTTATTACAATATTTATGCTTGTTTGAATAAAACGCAAAGAAACATTATTCAAATCAAGTTCTTATTCAACCACATACAGAAAAACACAAAGTGACTAAGCCACACAGCTGGATTGGTAGTCAAATCTGTCTGATCACATCATGCACTGGTCCAGCTCCTCACTGATGACCAGGAAAGCTTCTTCATTGGCTTTGGTAGGAGTTACGGTACTGCAGTAAGAACATGAGTGTATAAGGCCACCAGCCACGGCAGAACCATCTTGCCCAGTATGCCCCTGCAGTAGCTAATCAAGGCCATTTCCAGGAGACCAACAGACCAGACAAGTAAGCACACAATAATACTTGTGCTGGATACTCTGATAATATCTGATCATCTGTGACTCAGGCACCATCCTGAACCAGAGACGGCATCACTGTGTGTAATAGCCCTCGGTTAATTCACGTATATGTTTCACATGTATGTGCACGTGGTGCCACACAGATTGAAGTCAGCAGCTTCATTTCCCTGTCTTCAGAGGAAGGTCAAATCTGTGTGTGTCTCCTCATTTACAATTTACTATGACAGTATTCTCAAATATAGAAAAACAGGCTAAAAATAAACTAATACATGTTATTCATTTAAGGGCAGTCAAAAGACCAACCACGTATCTGCTTTGAATAGACAGTCCACCTGAGTTCGAGAGATCATACTTACACAGGCAGCAAAAATCCTCCTTCCCTGTGCAACCTGCTAAAATAGTGCTGTTGTATCTAGCTTTATTTTCACAGACAGTGTCCAGGTCTGCTTCCTAGACTCATCTAAATAAAGAAAAAAATTGCACAGGAATTGCAACTGTTTAGACATGACCTGACTTTGTAAGCACCAATCTCTTTCTGTGCAAAAATCAAGCAGTTTTGCAAAAATCAGAAATACTGTTCTAAATTTAAGTTCTCCTATTTCATATCTTTGCCAACGCATTTTAAAGAGTGAAGTAAAAAATGTTATGTCATAAAAGCAATTTTCTACTATTTAAGCAGCTCATTTTGTGACAAGACAGATTCAGAACCATCCATCAAATACTTTGCTAACTTTTTGTTCCAGTTAAATGGTGGATAATTTTATTTCTGTTTTGAGTTCCCAACAGGAGACCCTCCCTATTCAGCAAACCATTGAAATGTATTGTGCTGCAAGCTTCCCCAGGTAGAAGCAGATTAAAGATGTTTCTCTGAACTGAGCACTTTAAGAATGCTGATAAGCTTTAACAGCATTGAGGAGGGAACAAAAAAATGCAAAGCTGAGAGTTACCTTTAAAGCCCTGTGCATTTATGAGCTGTCAACTTGATCACAAATATGAATTATTTTACAAGAAACCTCTTCAGGAAAATTATAATTTTTCATATAAAATGTCATATTTCTGTCACAACCAAGGACATTTTTTTTTTAAAGGGAAAATTTTATGTGGAAAAAGCAATTTAAGTTGCTAAGTTTTTTCATTAAAGCATAACATTTTCTAGAAAAACATGATAGCTGCTTACAAAAGAAATAATTTCACTGAAAATACAATTTTCCACCGAAATCAGGGTAATTTTACTCTTATTAATATAATTTTCTAATTCATAAACCTCATTCCTTCCAGACTGAATATTTCAATCATAGTTAAATGCTTCCACTGAACTTTGCACAATCTCTAGTGATGCTAGAAATATATATATGCTACAAGGCCCTAAAAAGGCTGGAATCCTTATGAGGGATAACTAAAAGGGAAAAAAAGAAAAAGTTCCTCTAGGGCTCTGTGCTTCTGAATAGACCATTTAACTGTGATTTAACTTTTTTAAAACCAAGCTGTGTTTTTCTGTGCTATGCTTTAAGTTAGCAGTACAAACATACTATAAATAATTCAGCAAATGAAAAGCACGAAACAAAATATTTGGTAACTCATCATGCCTGTTGAGATTGAATCAACTCCACCTATCTGGTGAGCAGCTCTCCTTGCATGAAAAAAAGCAGAAGACTAATTTTTTTCCTCTGAGAGAAACATAATTTAAATATTATGACTGGTAGTGTAACACATCATGCCTTCAGCAACCTGCATTTATTTTTTTAAAGGTTGTTTATCTTTCCAAGGATCAGGAAACAAAATTTTCCATTTGCTAAAATGCTCCTTCTGGCCATACAAGATGTCAGCCTGTTTTCCTTTAATAAAAGCAGCAAAATTCACTACTGCATTAACAGGGTGGCTAACATACCTTCTGCCAGAGGACATAAATATATTATTTTAAAAAACCCAACAAACAAACAAACCCAAACAATGAAACAAAAAAAAAGCTTCAAGCAAACCCAGGTTTTCTTTCTGTAATTACCAAATGTAGTTTAATTCAGAATTTTATATTTTTATTCCTTCCTTTGTTCTTCAAAGAAAAAGCATGAAAATATAAAATAGCCATTTATGGACTGTTAGGGCCTTTCCTTCTCTCTCATCCCAGATTTTTGCAGCCATTGGTAAAACATCCACCTTCCCTAGAAAACCTGCTATGGCCACCACTGTGAGATACACAAAGTAGTTAAACCAAGTTCATGTATTTCATGGAGTTTGAGTTCTATATATTTCATTCCATTATTTCTAGAAAAATTGTTGCTTTCACAGGCAGTGAGGGTAAAAGTGAGAAGAATATGCTTGAGTATCAGTGCAAGGTTCAACATTGATGGCAGCTCAAATTATTTCTTGTTAAAAGGTAATCTTGTCCATTAAGGGAGGGCAGTGGGGAGCTCTGGGCTCTGCGGTGCTTCACACACAGAACTTTGCTTAATGCCCTATACTGCCTAAGCAGCAATCCAGATTACCCAGTGCGCTATCATGGAGCTACATTGGACTCCTTCAAGGGAATAAACCTCCCGTCTGAACAATTCCTATTATTTCATTCAAATCACTCTACTGGCACACGGATATTGATACACAGATATTTCAGAGGACGGCAAAAAAACACTCACTAGTATACCAGACTGCATAGCACTGCTCCCCTTTATCTTTCTCCCAAGTTCAAAAGGATTTCTCTGAATCTTGCAGATTGGTTTGAGTTCATGCTGAAAACAGCAATCAGAAAAAACATCCAAAGTTTTAAAACAGAGTATACAGATTTGCCTGGTCTAGAAGTGAATAGAGAAAGATTTTTTTTTTCCTGCAGATGCTATTCCTACAGACACAAGAATGCAACTTCTGAATTTTCTGACATCCATAAGTCAGAGAGATGTTAAAACTCCTGTACATTCAGTTGTGCTCTGGGTTTTGCTTGTCTGTGTGAGTGAGTTATTTTCTGACAGGGCTGACTTCTCCCCTTGAACGGGAAAGTCTCCCCAAGACGTGCACCTCTACTCATTCTGGGCTAACCTGTCAGATCCTTTCACATCCCCCCTTTATGCTTGTATAGCTCTGTCCAGACTGTATCTCTGGCAAGAGTGTGGGGGGGAAACCAAAACACAAAGGTTATTTACTTAACAACCTGGTGAACAACTGTGAACAACTAAGGTGAGGAAAAGCAGAGTCTTGGTTCCAGCAGCAACCAAAGCCAGTTGCTGTCTATTCATTGAGACTGCACCGCACCAAAATGGGTCAAGTTTTCATTCTTTTGCACAACTCATGGAAAAAGACGTCTCTGGGTCATGATATAGCCTGCACAATGATCTTGGAGAACTTTAATCACATGCCATTCTCCAGTCAAGCAGGATTATGAAATTATAATTCCTCTTTCAGAATTAGATTAATAGCATTTGACTACTAAGGTTCTTTGTTAGCTGGAGTACAGGGCAAATCCTCTGGAGTAATATGTCCCCAAAGCCTATAGATAGTAACAACTTTCAATAACTAGAAATTGTGACGGATGTGCAAAGAAATATTAAAGATTTTGTTTGGGTTTTTATTGTTTTCTTGAGGAAGTGCCTCACACTGCAGAATTATTTTTGTAATAATATTTCCACTCTAGGTAAGATTAAGGTTAAAAAAGAGAATGACTAAACAACCAATGTGAGACCCCAGGACTAATTATTTAGAGTCTAAGTCCAGCTGTGCAATGTGCCCTGTATCCATAGGAATGGACTTGTATCTTGTTCTGCATTCATATGTTATCTTATATTGACCCACAAGGCAAAAAAACAACACCTTTTCACTCAGACTGGGGAGTCAAAACCTAACCTCATAAACTTAACCTCATACAGCTGCAGAAGCTGCTATTAACAAATTCCAGCAGAATAGGCAGATAAACCCTTGATAAATGTTTTTTCAAGATGGATTCAGTTCCTTTTCACACTGACCACAAAGGCGTCTGATCCAACTTTTCATTACTTACTTTTCTTTTAATGCATCCCATAACCTTTTATTTTCTATTTCTGCACCAGGATCATCCATAAAGATGGTTTCACCTACCAGGAACGCATGGAGTTCAGACCTGTCATTTACAGCAACACAGTGCAGTCTATCCTGTCTATCGTGAAAGCAATGACTAAATTACAAATAAGTTATGAAAACCCAGCTAGAATTGTGAGTATGATGCCCTTTCTCTTGAAATAGGCATTAGAATATCTTTTTTGGTAGTATAACAGTAGAGACTAGTAGAACAAAAAGAGTTCAGTATTTGCTTTATGATAATGGAAACTAAGTACTCCTTGAGTTATATGTGTGACAAGATGTACTTATTTTCATTTTCTCAAGACTAATGCCTGAGGCCTGACCTTTGCATAAGCTGCCATTTAGTTTGTTACAAAAGAAGTGTTCAACTTGCAAAGATATAAGAAAGAAAAAGAAAAGAACCTTTTCTTAGCTGCTTAGTCATTTATTGCTATTGGGAAATCTAATAAGCATTTTCCTTTTATGAACAAAACTTGGGGTTGAGCCATGTAAGGAAGGGTCATCTAAACATGTTGGGAATATTTCAGTTTGGCATTGCTCCTGGAGCAGTCCTCACCACTGTACAGCCACAGCACCAGCACATTGACACCACAGAGAAGTGGAGTCTGACCTCATCACAGGAGGTATCATCACAGCATAGAAGAGGAGCCACAGTAGGGAGACCTGCTGTCTTCTGCCAATCATGCTGAATTTTCAGAGACAGAAGTAAAGGAAAAACACATACTTTTCTTCTCAGTGAGATGAAATTATTTAGTCTATTGCCTGTAATTCAGACCTTGCTGAGAATTTCTCAAAAGCCTGTCAGAATATCAGTTGGTTCCAGTTTTGGCAAATACTGCCTATTCTCTAGAGACTTATCTTAGAGGAAATTACATCCGCTTATCTAAAAGATATTTTCTCATTCCCAAATTCCACATTTCATTACAATGATATGTGGTACTTTGACCTAAAAAATGATAAACAAATGCTTCAGAGGTTACAAAAGCTAATCTGACAAAACAGAAACTAAATGTTTTCTTCCTGTATTCTACTCAAGTGTCCATGAACACAAGTCATTCAGACTTGGTCTTGGTGCCCAAAAGCAGCACACCAAAAACAGACCTGTGTGAATGTGCTGCAGCTTGGCATGGTCTCCTCAATTGTGACAGACACATGTCTGGGACCTGTCTACCAGTCTACATGGCCTGATCAAAAATAAAACTGATCCTTGCAGCACCTAGCCACAGGTCCTGGCTCAGCCTCTGATAACCACTACCATGTCCAGAAACTGCCACCTGCAATTGAGATACCTGTGCCCCAGAACTTTAGCCTCTTTTCTCAGCCCTGCCAAACATTCTGAGAGGCTTACACATGTGCACCCATCATCTACATCTGTGTCAGTTTCAGAGACATTCTTTTCAAGGGATTTCACAGCCTGGGAAACTGGGAACTGAAAATTGTTAAATGGCTCAGTTAATTTCTTAACTTTATATAATCAAATGCAGAAAATACAGCTATTGTAAGTTTATCACTGACAGCACACTAAGCCTACTCTTACAGTTTTGCCAGAATAGGTCTCTAGGAATATATTTGAATACACTTGTATAAAATATTTCCAGTGCCTGCCTTCACTTTCCCCAGAACCACATAAAAGCAACCTGGATGTGAGTTTTAAAGAAAATATAAATTCTGGGCACATTTGTTTGAATTGCCAGTAAACATTGCCCTTTCTTCCAAAAACAAACTTAGCTTACATTTTCTGTAGAATCATAAACCATCTACAAGCTTGAGTTGTTTTGATACAAGCTTTGATTTCAGCTGGACTTTGTTCTTGCTGTGTTCTGGTCCAGATTTAGCTGCATAAAGTAATTTAGCTAAAAGACTGGACTTATCTTAGGCCTGAAAGCAATGGGACCATCCATGTTCCAGGACTGTCTGTAAATACCTGTAAGTGGTCCTGAAAGTGCCTCAGCACGCAATTTGAAACATCATCTGTTCAGGTGAGAGAGGTATTTTTTCCTACCTAAAGTGTCATTGCAATCTATTTTTTTTATGAAAATCATCTGAAGTCTGTGTAAATGCCAGAGACGAACAAAACATTACATAAATCAGAGATGATAGGCTCAATCTGCTGCTATCTTCCTTTTTTACGTAAGCATCAAAATCCACAGTTGCCACCCTTTGCATAATAATCAATGCACATTTACTGTACACCTGGAGGCTCTGAGCCCAAGGCTTCTTGTTGTAAGCTGTTCAACCAGCAACTCCAACCTTGGAAGATAGCTATAACTATGAAATGATATGTGATATCTTGAAGGAGAGAACATTGCAACTCTTATCTTCAAGCTGAACAAGTGTGCGCACTGGAGCCAGATAAGGCGCACACATGAGATTCAGTTCTGCTGATCCCAGCACCGAGTGATAGGATGTGGGTACAAACGAAGCCCGTGTTCTTTAATGCAGAAGAGCAATTGTTCAGCTGTCCTCCTTCCTCTTTCAAACAAAAGCAGTTCTCTAGTGGTTATTTCCCCCTTTTTTTTTCTTTTCCTCCATGCTTACTCAGTTTCTCCAGTATTTCAGAAAACTTGCAGTGTTTTATTTTCGATTAGTCTCTGACTTTAACAAATTTTCCATAAACTGCAATTTCTATTGAAGCTTAAAGATATAGTACAATCCTAAAATAATGTTTTTACAAATGACTGCAAAGTTGTATTTTATTGTTAAATAAAACTTACTCCCTGCTTAAACAGTGTATGTTAGAATCCATTTCTGCTTTTGCAACTATTGACTGCAATTCACTTCAGTTGCCTATTTATACGGCTAGGAAGAAATTATATTCTATAATTATCCACTGCTGTGACAGTGTATCAAGTGACCCTATTTTAATCATACTCTTTATTTACAGTACATTCCTAAGCTGTTAACCACTGAAAAGAAATATTTTTAATGTAATAGATTACTTGAAGTCTTTTCGGATTGACTGCAAAAGGAAGAAATTACAGAACAAGCCATTTTAAACACTTGGTATGCTATTCAGTTATAGATTTCTACCCCCAAATAAAAAAAGTACAGGAAATACATTCACTAGGTATATTCACTTTGCCACATTTCTCACTGTGGCCTAAAACTAGAAAATTTTTTCTTCCAAATATATCAAAAAATATGTTTAGCTATATATTTCTGCTTTGATATGATAGGTTTAAATTTTAAACATCCTTTATAATTTAGTTTTTGATACCCCACTACTCTGTCTTACAATAAAAGCCCTCCTTCCAAGTTGGACCTTTAGTGAACACGTATGGTAAGATGAAACTGATCCTTTGTATGAACAAAACAATAAAAAGGAGGAAAACTGTGTATCACAATTTATGACTAACCTTGGCACTAAATAAAGAGAAGTGAGCTTGTAAAAGGATGCTTTCATGCACAGGCAAGTATAGCTACCTAGAAAAATGGGTGAACATGCAAAATTTTGCCTCTGCAACTCATTTTAAAGCAAATACAAAATCTTCAAGGAGGTGGAGGGGCTCAGTGCGCTTGCACAATATTTACAGAAATTTCTCCTTAGGAAGATGAAAGGAAACTGTGTGCCATGGCGACAGCTCTGGAGGATGGTGACATGTCTTCCGAACTGGTTGAACTCATCAAACAACTGTGGAGCGACAGCGGGACCCAGGCCTGCTTTGCAAGGGCAGCAGAGTACCAGCTCAACGACTCAGCAGCCTAGTAGGTGACACTGACTATTTCCGTAACGGACAGTGTAGGAAGGCTTGCGACAAGGTCTCTTCCTGACATGCAGAATAGCCTACAAAAATTATTGTTCATTAACCTGAAAAAGAATGAGGGGTTTGCTAATGTTTATAATATATTATAAATCTTTAAGTAACGGAAACAACAGAAAACAAGGAAAAATTTGTTTCTGTGAGTTTCTTTAAATTGTAAAAAAAAAGTCTATTTTATCTCTAGGCAATTCCAAGATAGACAAAATGAGGGGAAAAGTGACTTGAAACAGCTTAGGATTTACCTACAGTTGTACTTTGGTTACATGTCAGGCTGCTAAATCTAAGTCTGGAGAAAATTATAAAAACTTTCCTTTAAACTAACCTGGCTGCATGGATGGGTATCCCCTGAGCCCTCACAGTCTCAGCATCCATCTGGTCTTGGCCAGCAGCTTCTCTCCAACCTGACAGCCCCAGCTCCCTTTCTGCAGCCTGGGAGGCAGCAGACAGGTAAGCAGGGGACTAGGGCTGCTCAGCTCTTGTCTCCACCAAGCTTCACCTTCAGCTGGGGTACATCTCCTAGCTTAGATGTTATCCATATGCTTAGGACTATTCAGGAGTCCCTGGTTTGGTTGCTTCTCTGGCTGTCCTTGTAGGCTACAGTGGTCCTGCTCTCCTGTTTCCTCCTTAAGCTCAAACAAGACTGAGAAGGGCGATGTCACCTGGGCCACAAGGTTCTTGGAGAGCCTAAGTCTGACTCTCGACCTGAGGCAGCAGTTGTTCCGGCTCAGGTCCATCTGCATTGGAGGTTTCTCTGCTCCTGCAGCTCCTCCTACAGGCTAAGGGCACCTGCAGGGTGAAACCTCACAAGGCATTGGGTGTCCCTTCTACTCAGCAAGCAAAGACATGATCAGAGTCTGGGCCAGGAGCTAGGCAAACTGAAGGCACTAAGAGCTCACTAATTGTAGAGAGTAGAAGGGATATACCATGAAAACAGCAAAAATCATTTGTCTCTCTATATCTTCAAAACAAGAATGAAGAACTTTCTGCAAGATAACAAAACAAAGAAAATACTGCCTGTGTTGATTTGTGCCTGATTTGGCAGCATTTCATGGCAGCCTTGTATTTCTATAGGAATAGTCCAGAGAAGTCATTTGTTTCCTAACATATCCTTTCTGACAGGCCACACTGCAGTTCCCAGTACAAAAAGTCTGTAACAAGTCATAATTAAAAATAAAAACACTTCTTGAAATTAAAAACAAACAAACAAAAAACCCAATTAAAAAAAACTGATGCAGAAAAAAAAGATTACCTGTTTACTAGCTACCATTCTAGTGTTTACACTATGCCTGGCAGATTAGGCTCTGTGGCCTACAAAGAAGATGGGAAAGCCTAAAGTAATCCCTCTCAGTGTTATGGACTGTGTCATGTTTTAACTTGCAATAAGTTTCAGTATTTAGAGAGCTAGTACAGACTGTAAAGGACCCAATAATCATGATTTATTGTTAGAGTTACATTAAAAACAACAGTGATATGTTTTTCCTGTACTTGAACAGTTCTGAAAGTCCTGTTAATCCTCTGTCTTCATCTTTTGGTATGTGATGCTTCTGAGCAGATCTTTGGCTCTGAACCATTAGAATCAACTTAGCTTTTTGCCCTTGCTCCTGGGCTTCTGATGATCAGTTCAAAACCAGCTAGAGTCAGCCAGCTATTTAATGCTACATTTCAATTTCTTTTAAAACCAACACCCGGTTTCTCAGCTCCCGTGAATCAGCTCCTACACAGAGCATTAATTTATACTGTGTAAACTCTGACTCTTTGAGGTTATCATCTTCTCTGAGTCTTTTCATTATCAATTCAAGCTAATGAAGATTGATCACTGCCTTTCCTCCGTGTGTTTCAGCTGAAAAAAAAGAGTTCTTTTGAATAATAGAAAATCCCCTGTATGCCAAATTTGGCTGGAATTTCTTAGATTCACCTGGAATTAATTCTGTTTTAAGACAGAGTGATGGGCAAAGAAGGGGCAAAATAAGGACTATAAATCATGACCTTAATTGTCATTCTATAGCTATCAGTAGTATGTGGTGTTTCATGCTTGCTCAGTCATCTGCCTCTCAGGGTAGGATTCATGTCACCTAATTGAAGCCAAGGGAAGATGGGGCATTTAGACTGACCTGCTAGTTTGTGTTCCCACTCTTGCAAGTGCAGAGTCGGCCAGCAGTGTCCCCTTGGAGCTGCCTACAGCTCTGGGAAGAATCTCAAGATGCCTCCATTAACTAGATAATTACACTTGGCTGTACTGAATTGAATTTAGGTATTTGTGACTAAGAACTATCAGATCTTTATAGTGAATTTTATGTACAAGTGTTTATTTTAGTGCTTACATGCTTTATAAATTGCAAAATGTCTTTTATTTCTGCCTCCTACAGAGGTGAGCTGAGATGAGTTTGCTTCAGGCCTCACTCAGAGAACCAGAGATATATTGTCTTTTTTTTAAAACAGATTGTTTCCTGGACTCAAATAATGGGGAAACATTTAATTACTCAAATCAACTTAAGCACTCCTTGCTGAGTGGATTCAGTCTATTCAAGTTAAAATAAGAAAATCCTATTTCCACGTATTACTTACAAATCTCTATATAGAAGGTTCTAGCTTAAAAAAAAATTATTTTATTTTATTTTATTTTATTTTATTTATTACTTACAGATGTATGAAATATTGCAGACAAGGATGATGAGCTGTGAGGTTTGTTTTGGTAGTCATCTGGTTAAATTTAATAGCAGAACTCCATGTTCTTTGTGGACTTTGTGTTAGAGGAGAAAAAAATGCATGAAGCCTAATAAACATTAGAGAGACTGTGTTTTGTTTGCCAGAGATAAGAGGCTACAATTGGGAAGGTGCCAACTGGGACACCAAAAGCTTGAAACTGCTTCAACTGCTGTATATGGTTTCTTGCGTTTGGCTTTGTTCTTTATTGGAATAATAGCAGTTAAAAATGAGAGGATACCCAGATACCACCTTTTCCTGTTGTTGATGCATAACCTCTCTGTGCAGATTCGTAGACCAGCCAGTAGGATCCACAGGCTCTGTCCCGCCATTTTGAGAAAGCTGCGTGCTCCTGGAAGAGACAGGAGAAGGGTCGGTTGTAGGACAAGAGCAGGCTTCAAAGATCTGGTTTGGATTCTCATTTTACACAGATTTTATCTCTGTATGCCAGACATAAAACCAGATAATCCACTCTTTTCCAGGGGGTTGTGGGAACACTGACTGAGGGGGTCCTCAGCTTCATTGATGTTTCTGGTTTTGATTACAAAATATTTTTTTTTAAATTATCGTATACTTTCCTCTTGTAAACTGATAGCTCTGCAGGGAAAACAGCCTCCAAATGTGAATGCCTCCAAAATATTACACCCTCCCTTTCACTTAGGAAGGAAGATACTGTTACACCAGGTCTGACTGATAGGCTGTGATAACTTCCAGTCAAACCTGCTTTTGAAAGATGCTGCCACTTCTCCCACTGTGGTGGCAAGTCCCACTTGCTGAAAGCAAATGGACAAAACCTCTTTCCTGACAAGGTGGTTTTTTAGCATCCCTGAGGAAAATAAGGATTTACCTGAACTGAAATTCTCAGAAAGGTATTCATTAGATACAACTAAATAACACTTCTATATCGTATCATAGAATAATAGAATGTATTGGGTTGGAAGGGACCTTTAAAGGTCATCCAGTCCAACCCCCTTGCAGCAAGCAGGGACAATGTTACCAGATCCAGTTGCTCAGAGCCCCATCAAGCCTGACCTTGAATATATACAAAGAAAAAAGAAAAAAAAAAAAGAGAAAGGCTCTGGATTATGGATCTAGATTGTACAAAATCCAATAGTATTGTATTTAAATCATAGAATTGTAGAAACATAGAATCCATATGGTTGGAAAAGACCTTTAAGATCATCAAATGTGCAATTTACATAAAATATTTAAAAGCAGCTCAATATGAAGTGATTATGTGACATTTATTTCACCTTTTGAATTCACCAATGACCATTTCTTTTTAACTTCCTTAGTTACCTCAACGATTTGGATCGGTTAGCAATGCCAGACTATGTGCCTAGTGAGCAAGATGTTTTGCACTCCCGAGTGAAAACAACTGGGATTATAGAGACTCAGTTTTCTTTCAAGGATTTGAACTTCAGGTATGAAAGCCATATTTGGCAGTTTTCTGTGGTTATATCTTTATTAAGTATTTTCTTTCAAAGATATTGATCTATTATAATATTGGTAATCCCACTGTGACATCCTTGAATCCACTTATTTAATATTTTGAAACAGCTAAAAAAGCAAGGTATTTTAGTACCAGTACTCCAACTTTAAGCATATAATGGACTGTTATTAAGAGATCTCAGAATATCAGGTTCTAAAAGGACATTTTTACATATGTAAGTGTCTAAAAGGCATTATTTGTATCCTGCCATTTGAATAATTGTTTGTGACATTTATGAAATTTGCCTACCTAAATGTACCTTAACAGCATGCAAAACATTTGATGACTACTAATTTGCATGTACTCTCAACCTTTCACTCTATTCTTCTGAGAACAGGAACAACTGCTGTTAACACTGGAATGCATTACATTCTGCAAAAAAAAAATAATTTCTGTCCCATGGGAAATTTCAATATTAGCATGCATGCCTTCACACTCATTTAAGATGAAACGCAAAATGTTCAGAAAAAAATCTTGAAAACAACATCTTTAAGAAATGTGACTGAAAATAATCGACACTTTCAGATACTGAAGGTTTTGTTATGCTTTATGAACCAATTAAAAACGTCTAATTCCACATGAAAACATATTCGAATGAATTATGATAGTTTCAGTTTTCTATAATTCATTTCTCTATGGACTGAATTCCATTTAATTCTTAATTTAAAGGCTAGGGTGCATATTAAAGAATGTAGCCTAGATAAGAAACTGTCTGTAGAGATAGATATATAAAGCACCAGGCTTATAACTCCTACATTTTATTGGCTTATTTTCTCCTCATGTGGCAATTAAACTTCCCCCAAACCATCTATGCTACCACACAGATGCTTTGACACAATGGAGATTACAAATACAAAGTAAGATTTTGAAGCAGATGCCCTACAAATAAATTATTAGCACCTATTAATACACTGATCACTCATGAATATTCAGCACTTACTCACGAATGCTACGATGCAATGTCATAGACATCATCTTCTTTCTGTCTGATTAACATATTTCCAGGCAGCTTTGTACACTGGAAATCTGAGGACTTTCAGTTACCATAATAGTTTATGTAAGAAATAAAATCTGGATGAAAAAAGAAAAAAAAGATGGAGAAAGAAATCATCAGAGTGCAAACCCTCTTTGACATGAACGCTACCAGTCCTGATACTAGAATACCAGAATTAGTGTCTAGGTCCAACCAAAATGCAGCACAACTAGGAATTAAGTTACCTGAGTGTCTTGTAAAGAAGAGGAGGGCTCCTAATGCCACCACAAGCACAAAACCCATTCTCTTTAGCGCCTCTGCTATGCATCACAGTAGTGTTACAAGCAGCTGGTGACGCGGGTGTGGTAGCT